CATAACTCTGAGTCTCAATACAGCAAATTGAAAACACAGATAAAATATTATTGTCAACTTCTGACCTCTGGTGTTCACCAAGGAAACTACCTGTTCTGACGATAGTTTAATGAAGAGATTATGCTATATAAACTATACTACCATCATCAGAGCTGGGAATTGGTTAGGATCATTAATCAGTTACTCTCACAGGGTGGCTTGAATAAAAAAAAAAAAACTTTTCTCACATGAGTTGACTAAAAAATAAAATTTATAATGCTACAAATCAGGTTTTGATACACAAATAGTGTAGCTTTGTGCTTAACAAACAAACATAATGCTAATTAAACCCTAATTTCAATTACTTGATTATTTTTCTTGAGTTGTGACACTAACTGATCAAGCGAACAAACTTGAATTAATAGAATATAATAATGACAATATTTTGCTTACAGCACCAATCTTTTGATTATTTTGTGACAATAATCTATTTAATTGTAATTTCAATATCAATAACTGGAAATGCCAAGTGATTATTCTCATGACATTAATTGGTTTCATTGTAATTTTAGTTAATCAATTACTTTATGGGACACTAATTAATACATTATGAGCATGCGTGTATTTATTTAGCATAAAAGTGGAAATCCAACAATAATATCATTATTATTTCTATCTATTACAACCAATCTAAAGTAACAGCACTGAATGCGGTAACACCGGAAAGATCATATTTTACTTTAATTGCAATCAAAACTTTAATATAAAAACTTCTGTCTAGTTCAGTAGCAGTACCTGTTTCAAACAGCAATGTTATAACCCTTGTATTTATGTCTGTATGATAAAGATAATTTTACGTATGAGATCCTTTCCAACGAACGTATTTAAGAAATTCCAAGAAATATTCGTCTACAGGATACTTATTGCATTAGCTTGTTGTTTTAAAGTAAAGTCTGTATATAAAAAACTTACCCTTCATCCTGTATTTCCATTCTCTCCATTTTCTCAGCAACTTCAGCAATCTCATCTTTCAGTTGCTGGAAGAAAATATTAGCCTTCTTAAAAAATTTAAACCATTAAAACAACATTCTTAATGCCATAACATTTTGCATTTACACAGATACTTGGTCAAAACTATACATGAGACCTCTTTGTTGTGATACCTTGGTGGAGTACTTAAGGTACAAAAAAAAAAAAAATTAATTCCAAACATGCTTTAACAATTTCATCTTTTAAAATGTTTATCTAAACAATGTTTACTGTAAGTTTTTGTAAAGCTTTCGACAACAAAGACAACACAACACAATATACTTAATGTTAATTATTTTGAAATCATTGACAAATTTTGCGAGCTTAAGATAATTTATATTTTATTGTTTGTTTTGTTTCGAATTTCATGCAAAGCTACACGAGGGCTATCTGCACTAGCCGTCCCTATTTTGGTAGTGAAAGAGGGAAGGCAGCTAGTCATCACCACCCACAACCAACTCTTGAGCTACTCTTTCACTAATGGATAGTGGGATTGACCATAATATTATGATCCCCCCACGGCTGAAAGGGCAAGCACATTTGGTGGAACAGGGATTCGAACCTGCAACCCTCAGATTGTAAATGAAGCGCCATAACCTCATGGCCATGCCAGGCCTTTATATTTTATATCAATCACAACAGCAATATTGTTGTTAGAAAATTAAAATAGAAAGAAACTTTAAAAATAATGTGCTCACTCAGAATAGTCTTATTTAGTATTTATTGACATTATATATTAAACGGCACCTTCGTCTATCCCAATTATCAGTTTACGTTTGTTAAAATCATATTTCAATCATTAAACCTCTTTGAACAATTAAACCAAACGTACTAATCTCATAATATATAGCGTAGCTACAACAAAATAATACAATAATGTTAGGTCACATACAGTGCTTGCAAAACAAAATAGCTTGTAATTTAACAGGAAATTTTTTAATGCTTAACACTGTTCATTTTCAAAATTATAATGCCAATAATTCCATATTATTTTAAATAAAGTATCCCTATAACAAGGTTATTACAAGTTACTTTTTGTTTAATGACTAACGTTACATTAAATTTGATTAACATTATTGCATAAAATGTTTAATATATATCTATTTTTATTATAAATGTTATTTTACAGTACGAGCTTTGTATATAGAATTAGGACTAACCTTACTCTCCCTAAGCTAGTAGAACCTGATGACGTTTTGGGATTACAACCAAAAATACTGTTTACAGCAAGAGTATCCAAATAGTGACCTTTATTTATGAAATATATTTCGTAAGCACCAATTATTTCTAAAAAACCAATGAAAATATATTCTATAACTTTGAAAATTTATAATGAAACAAGAAAAGGCTTTAATTTAATATGTTGTTCGGTCCAAGACTGACAACAGACTGACGAATCTACAGAGTATCAATATTATATACTTATACCCGTTCTTCCTCATCATCTAGTGTCCAGGTAAGACGTTGGAAGCCGCCCAAACAGCACTTGTACATTTCACAGTCACACTGGGATTGTAACCATTACTCGTTCCGAGCATAATTTGAAACCAGCAACATAAGGCTTCGTATCAGTTTAGAATGCACTCTTTAAAACTTCGCAAGCAACCGCTGGTTTTAATTAATGGCTAACCATTAGATGCATGGTCATCGTAATGACCATCAATCTAATGCAGTTGTGTATTCCAAGATGTTAAAGCGTCGTATTTTTACGCAACTAACCATATTCATTGTCCGGATGACTCTGGGTTACAGCTATAATATGTTAGTCCATAAAAAGCAGTGACAAAATTTATTTATGGACTTAGACGTACATAGCCGAATCGCGTTCCCATAGTAACATATTTTCCCCTAGAATGAGCGTTATAGTATGTTTATAGCAGGTAACATAATAATATCTACACACTATGGCCGTGATCAGCTCTGAACATTAAAAATCGCTACACCACGTAGTTATCAAAAGACTGGACAATGGATAACCTTAAAGTGACGTCATTATCCCTCTCTTGACTCAGACTCCTTGCTCTATTATGCACGTGCACAACTCTACTGCACGCCCTCTCCATTACAGCTGTACAGATGGAGGATGTGCGCACGTTTTGCGCATTATATCCAACCCAAATCAACAAACGCTGTTATGAAGTCTAATTTTAAACATCATAATATTTACTACTTGGAAAAAAACGCTGGGCATAAAATGTCCATTAACACAACTGTTACCGAAGTTTTCATTTTATGTGCACATGTCATTCAATGGTCGTTGCAAATAACTTTCCAAAATAATTCATATGAGTGGCAATTACTAAAAATATATTTTTATTAGAATAGTCATACAAAAAAGTTTGAAGTTTGTCGCAAGCCTAAATGAATTTTGTAAAATAACGAAAGTTCTACACTAGGTGAAACGTGACTCTTCGGACAAATTTATTTACTTCGCTGTTCTTCGGCTTCTTCTTTCATTCTCAATTTACTTTTAACATCGAAAAAGATATTCAAAATATTGTCTTCTAAAAATTTCTTGAAAAGAATCTGCACTGCAAGTGATGGGAAAAGTTTAAGTTAATCTCTTAATTTAAGTTATTTCATGGACTTTAAGAAGTTAATTGTGCTGCACTCTTGTTTTCACTCAGAGCCAAGGCTCTGAGCTACTTATACCACTCACCACGAAAAATAATTGTTGAGCATTTCAGTCATGCTAAGAGCCGCTCAAGAATAACATACTGTAAATATTTATTTATTTTTTTGTAATTCAAATAAGTAAAAAGCATCACGACATTAATAGCACATTTCTATACACACATTCCTCAAGTTTTTGTTTAATGGACACTTCTAAATTCAAAATCTTTAAGCGCAAACAAATGAAATGACAAATTAAAAGTACCCTCAACTGAAAGTGGCAAGCTTGTTGTAACATCGCATCGCGAACCTTGGACTTTCTAATTCGCAAACCGGAAATCTAACTGCTAACTAGGCCGAACCTAAGGGGTGTAGTACTCTTAACTAAACGAATAGTACTAGTTATTGTATCAGTAGAGACAAATAAACTTCCAATAATAATCATTATTATTACAGAACAATACGATATATTTTATAACTATCATGTTACATATATATAACCAATGTTTTATCAGTTCTACAAAGCTAAAATGTACGTTTCAAACTTATATCAAAAATGAACCATCACACAAGTTAAACACCTTATCCGCATATCTTTATTTTGAGAAAAAAAAAGTACGTAATTTATGTTAAAATGAGTAATATGGTGATAACAACAACAACAAAAGTTTAATGCTGATTTCGAGAAATACTGGGAACTTTTTCTCGATTTGTCCGGGTAAACATAATTGGTGAATTGAATGTTTAATTCCTCACGTTTCTTAGAAAACAACCATGCTAAACAATGAATAAGTGTAATATATGCGAATCTTAGGTATATTACTACTTGCTACAAACAAAAAACTCTTCAGTCGTCAGCTCACAAAAATCCTTAGACCAAATTTAATTTTATAAGTTCTGGTTATGAAACGTGCTCTCAAAATAGAATGTAACTGCTCAACTTAAGCAGTATTATACATTCTTGACTGAAAGATATATTAGTTATTATATTCAAGTTTAATGTTAACTAAAACATCTGTTAAGTGATGACGTCATAAGCATAATGTGACCATAAGCGCGTTTCACGCCGTCTGTCTGTCACCATGGTAACAGGCCTACACCCGATCTTTACATGCATCTTTAATAAACGTGACCATATTAGCGTTTCACGCTGTCTGCTGTGACCATGGCAACAAGCCTAAACCCGTTCTTTCCATACATCTGTAATACATATGTAGGCAATGTACTATTAGTGTTAACACGTGGCACTTTCCGACATTAATGTTGCTCTTGAAGTTGGACACTAAACTTTAAAAGAAAAAAAATATATACAAGTAAATAACTCACCTGGATTTCTAAAATTAGTTCTGTTTTGCGACGTCGAATCTCAGTCAACAGCTGTCGCTCTTCAGATGTTAGATCTTTAAATAATAAACGAATTTAAAGTTTTATTTTCCCCTTGAATTCCATAGTTTACGTAGTTACACAACAAACAAATTAAGTACAAAATAAAAATTCATCACACAGATTCGGCTGTTAGCTTTTGAGTTTCTTAAAATAGCTACATCAAATATTAAAAATTCTGGGCCTTATTGGATTTCTTAACTGTAAATCAAAAGTTGGAAAAAACAAGAGAACAATAATAAATAATCATTTGATAGTTTGTTTAGCCAGAGTATTCATAATGCAACTTTGTAAAATGGACGGCAACTGCCTGTTGTAGAGGGCGACGTTTCTACAAATTTTCATCAATAATAAATAACAATGTTGACAGCAAAAATAATTAATGCGATTATGAACTTACACGGCAAATTATAATTCGAAACAGAGTAATTTAAAAAAAAATAGTAACGAATCACTGGGTGCAAATTACAGAGCAGTGACTACATCAAGTGCAAGTTGAATCTTACGCAATACTTGAAGCACTTTAAAAAAAAATATTATATTTACACTTAGAACCTTCAGTCCACTGCATTTTGAATTTATCAAAGTAATGATGTAATTACACTTCAATAAAATTTATTAGGTAAATATGCTATTTATTTTTATGTCACTGGTCTTCTCTACTGGTATGATTGGAATGAGACTGGTGACGACTTAAAGTTATCAATTTATCACATATTTATTTCAATCACAAGAATCCGTTTCACACGGAATTACTTACATGCGATCGTTACTATGATAATCTGAGTGATTTAAAATTACCTACGCATAACAAGTGACCATTTAGTCCTCCAAGGTTGTCTTTCATACCCACCCTTACAAAATTTAAACTAACCAGTTTCTTTTCAGAAAACCATCAGTTTTCTTATTAAATTAACGTAGTGTAGCCTCCACTACAATCGACAACAGATCATTTCATGAGTCAATGTTAGAAAAATATAAATGCTTTTCCCAAATTTTTAACTCGTGTCGTCTCGTCCAATTATTTTCCTAATGCAGAACAAAGAAATCTGAAGCCTTAATCTTATCTATCTCCTGCATAGTCTTGTAAGCTTCAATAAAATTAAAATTACTTCTTCTTATTATTTTTTCGTGAAAATTGCTTGAACAGAACACCTTTCCTCTATGGAGGTTGAGTACATTATATTAAAACGATTTTGGAGCCTCACCACGATGTTACAGTCTACGTCGCAACGTCCGGCCATGCTCTATTTCACGACAGTGTTACTTGACTATAGCTCTGCAGTGTAGATTCAACTGTAAAAGGTTCCGTCGTAAGGCACAGAACTCTTCCCTGTAGGATTTCTATAATCCATCTAGTGACAAGGAGGACGAAGGTTCCCAGCACCCGTTTGAACAGCCCAATCGCATATAAATTGATAGACGCTGTATGGAATAGCATGAATATCCGTTTCGTTCCCCAGCTGCTTAATATATGCGAAGACTGAAAGGATAAGCCAGGGAAGGAATTTGTGACTCGTGTCGCTCTTCCGAACGAAAATCCTTCATTATGTTAGGGGCACATGGGCGTCTTTTACCACTAACCTTTTTCTACTTGGATTCTCGCATGTTACAAAACGCCGCTATTTGCTTACCACGGCTGGGGTAAGACTTGTCGCAAATCTCTTTCTGATGGTCCAAGTAACCCAAGTTGATCCATATTCCTTTGTTTTTCAATCTCATTAATTACATGGGATATCCCCGTCTTCGAAATTATAAATCACTGATCTGGGTGAATGAATAGTTTGCATTGGATTGGGCTAATACATTTCCTAAAAGCTAACAATTTTCTTGTATTGTACGAAAAGTCTCTTGGGCATTGACTTGTTGGAAACAAAAATAGACATGAAATTTTTATTTATGCTCACCTCTGATCTAGAATACGAAACAGAAAAAATTAAGAGGAATATGAAAAAAAAAAAACATCTGTAGTTTACATTTATTTTATCACAAATATCAACGTATCCTATTCTACCAAGAAAGGTGTGTGTGTAACAGTAACAAGAAAAAGTAACTCGTTAAAGATTTTATGAAGTGAATAATGCCATGTCCGTATAGACAGCCTCAGAAAGAAACGACATACTCCTAACACCTCGAGAAAAGATCAATACTGAAAACTCCATTATTTTGAACCATAAAGAATTAATTTCAAAATAACTTATTCCAGTATATAAAAGGGATATGAAACTCGTACCTTTTTCCATACTGTAATGACTAGATAACTAAAACCGGTGATCAGAAACCTAAAACGGTTTGATTCTGACTGAAGCTATCAGAATTATGGCTTTTAAGTTAACCCGATTTAACTGTCAATTAATTTTTTTAACTATGATACAACGTAAATAATCTGCTATGCACAGAACTCCTCTAATAAAGAGCTGTAGTCTCTAGTGAAAATTAACTAGGCTCAACAGACGTAAAACTTTTGTAAGTAGCTCCTTCACATACTGAATAATGATCTCTCAGTTGCAAACTTCCTTTTGCTATGGCAGGAAATTTGTCGTTTGTAATACGTCCGGTGTTTTAATTGTGCCCACGAACTGTTGTTGTAAGAGAGGAACCGATATATGTGTACGTGTAACATAAAGTGATATTTGAACAACAACAAAAAATTATTAATTACATAAAACGCAACAACATCAGGGTTTTCCACTACAACTGAATTACAATGGGCACGTAACTTTACCTTGTTTAATTAATATTCAAAAACTACCTCCAAAAGTATACCATTAATCTTGGAATAGATTCAATTCAGACAATGTAATTATTTTTCTTCTAATTACATCTCTAAACAGGCATAAGAAACGATACATCTTGACTTGTTGCTTTCTTTAGAGAAAATTCGTATCAAGTTATTAAACGGAAACAAGGTACGTGTCATCATCTAAATTTATTTTTTAAGTATTTTATAGTGAACAATAATACCAGGATAAAATATAAAACAAAAATGATGCATGCATTTATAATATACACTTTTTATGCGAACCATATGTTAATAATGAATAACAGTAACAACTGTAAGACAATATATTATTAATATAATCTTGTTTCACTTTCACACTATGTCTAACTCGAGTCTATAACGCTAACTGGTAAATAAAATGATAAATGTGTGAAAAAAAAGGAAGGAAAAACACTCACATTTATGGATGAAGACTTAAACTTTAAAACAATTACTTATATAATGCCTTCACATTAAATTTCAAGTTACAATTATACAACTTCAGGATACAAGTTTTACTTCTTTTAATTTTTAGAAATGTTATTTATTAACTCTATCCTACCTGAAACAACTTCGGGCTGAATCCCCATCTTGAATAAGTTAGTAATAGTAGTTATAGAAGTAGATTCGACAAAAATAATAAACAAAAAACTTAAGTTCACTCTGACTGAGATTCGTAGACAGCCTTGCAACTATGCTCAGTAATATATACTTAACTTTATTTGCTTTTAGAACTGGTACTATTCACCACAAACTTGCACAACTTCGAACTTTGTATGCATGTTTTGTAACTTGAGCTTATGCATTACACGTATTCCCTAATAAATACTAATTCTAGCGTGTGACGTATCGTATCGTCACTTAACTTGTCACATCCGCCAATAAATGGTACGTAGAAATGAAATCGTACATTTACCTTTACTTTGTAATACTTTATGTTACCAAGACTCGAGACATATATATCTTTCTCCGAACTAGAAGTTATAACACAATGAGTTATAATGATGACGTCCAACCACAGCGTTTACCTAAACAACTACATGACCTCGAACTGTTGTTGCCCTCTAGTGGAAAATAAAATGAATAATTTAATTCTTAAACTTCAAGTAAGACTAAGAATTTACTGATGTAAGCTATTTGTGTATGGAAGCACGTTATAATAATGTAATAGTAAATTGACAGACAACGATTTATAAACATAACGAAGTGATTTTTATTTTGGGGAAATATACGACATGTTTCGACAGCATATATAAGTTATTGGAAACAAATTGCTGCAATAAAACTTGTATTATGAAATTCAAGGAACATTTTCTTTATTTTCAATGATAATAAATATAGATTGTAGACGAGGAAATTTAATAATCCAGTTCAAGTGAATAAGAAAGTTTTAATTTAAATCTCAAAAGTTATGTTCCTTGTAACGTTAAACATATATATATATATTTTATCCCGATAAATAATAACATTCTGCCTGAATAAATATAAAAAATTACCCTGGATTTTGGGCAGTTTTCAAGATTTTTGACAATTCAGCAAAGAGTGCTTCCCAAAACTATGTTCTTCAACAGCATGAAGCTCCATAAGTACAAAATATTTTTATACACATTTATTAACCAGCTTGCGACCCACTGCATAAGACCAAGTCTTGGTTGGTGTGACATATGCCTGTATCTGCTTAGTGAAATGATCCATCACGATCCTTACACCGTAATTTTATTTCCATTAGTCGAATGTGAAAGTGATCACAGATTTATCATAGGGGGAATTGAAATAAAGAACTCAAAAGCAATACAGGACTGATTTAAGATATTTTTTCTTGCAATAAATTGACTTTTACTCAAAGTAATTATGTCTCAAGTTAGACTTCACTTGGAAAACTTTGCACAGTTTGGTCTCCTTATCTAAGAAAATATACTGATTTACTGGAAAGAGTTCAGAGGAGGCCTAATAGGGTGATTCCGGGGATGGGAGGCTTATCTTATGGGGATAGGAATTAAGATCACTTAAGTTATTTTCTCTTGCGAAAAGAAGAATGAGAGGTGATTTGTTTTTTATTACATAACATTAAAGAACAAAATGGATTATTTTGGTCCATCTAAGCTGTCCGGTCCATTACATTAAACTATACACTGAAAAACTCAAAACCAGTCCTTGTTATTCAGTTATTTATCAAACTTTCCCAAAATTAACTACATCCATCACATTCGAAGACATCCCATTCCAAAGGCCATCTACCCTGTTAGAAAAATAAAGCTGTCTTAGCTGAAAATGACTCATATTCTGCCAAAATTCATATATGTGTCCCCTAATCTTACTATTGTTACCATTAAATACGAAAAAAGGTGATTCATAAACACTATCAATTCCATTAACAATCTTAAAAAACTCAACCAGATTCCTTCTAACTTTTCTTTTTTTTAAGAAAAAACAAATTTATAGATCTTAATCTATCCTCATATGACAACCTTTCTAACCCAGGTATCATCCTCGTAGCCTTCTTCTGAATCCTTTTCAACAATTCAATGTCCTTTTTTAAGTAGTCCAACACTGAATAAAGTACTCCAAATGTGGCCTAACCCATGACCTATACAATGACATTATAACATCTTTTTATTTTTGTTCAATACCTCTAAAGATACAATCTAAAATCCTATTTGTCCTACCACTATCAATAGTACATTGCTTGGATGGTTTAACAGACTAATCAACCAAAAAAAAACAAGCTATATCTTTTTCCATAACATTGTTAAGATAATTTCCATTAAAATTATACTCAGAATTCAGAGTGTGATATTCTACATGCATTAACTGGCATATATTATAATTTAAAGCAATCTACAATTTATTCGCTCAACTCATTAAATAATCCAAATCCTTCTGTAAAGCATTCTGGCATTCTCGTCACAGCTAGCAGCATCCAAAAATCTTAATATCATCAGTAAATTTAAACAATCTACTGATCATTTCCTTATCTATGTCATTGATGTAAATATAAAAAAGAGCAAAGGTCCTAACAATGAGCCCTGAAATATCTCACTCATGACATTTATCCAATTTTACTGAACTCTATTTATAAGAACTCTATCCTTTCTCCCATCTAGCCAGTTTTCTATCCAATGAGCCAACCTATCCCCCACATTTATAGAGATAACTTTATAAGAAGCCTTTCATGTGCCATCTTGTCAAATGCTTTCTGAAAACCTAGATACACCAAATCCACACCCGTACCTTCATCTGCATAAGTAATAACCGCTTCAAAGAATGTCTAAAAAGATTAGAAAAGCAAGATTTTCCCCTAGTCAAACCATACTGATTGTCCAACAAAATTTCAAACTTTGTTAAACGACGTTGAAAAGTATCTTTTTTTAGACTTTCAAAAACCTTTCCGATCACCGATGTAAGACTAATGTTATAGAAGTTTACAAAATTAATCGGGGATCTACAGTATAAGGAACTCTTATTGTGTGTGTGTGCGCGCGCGCTATATTGTGATGATAATAGTGTTGCGTCAGCGGGTCACATGACCACTGTGACGCCACGTTTCTAGAACTATCCTGTACTTTGGCGAATGCTCTAGTATTTACTAGATATAGGGTAGTTGGGTATATATAAGAGGGGGAAGGTAATGTGTGTATAGACAGTGAGTAACTGATCTGCAGTCAGAAGTATTATTGAGCACGTTCGTTGTTATAGCGTTTGTTTAGCGCGATTGTTGAAGTTAAGTGTATCGGTAAAGCTGTATTCGGAAAGAATAAACCAGTTTTATTAAGTAAAGAACTTGTGTCGCTAAAGTTTCGTCGGAACGAAGTTACGGAAAGTTAATTAACAAACGGAGACGTAACAATAGGATAAAAGTTAAAGATCTGGAAAAGACAGACTAGGTTCCACGAAAGTTTTAATTTACTAACAGGGTGATTAACTTCTGGAATGGGATTTTGTGGACAACAGTGGAGGCCGGCATTTTACATGAGTTTAAAAGGAGATTCGGTAATTTTTATGAAAAGTAAAGGGTGGGTTTAGATTTACTTTTTCTCAAGAGTGGGTTTGGAGGGACAACCTTGATTAAAAGACCAAATGGTCCCTTTTTGTCCACTACTAAGTTAATTAATTTTTCAAGTAATGACTGATTAATTTAAGCTAATAATAATTGGTTAATTACTTTGAAAATGTGAAAACTCTTAAAAATTTATACATTTTGTTTATAAGTAATTCTCATCGTCGTAGTTCCAGCATAATATTTATGAAACTTGAAAGTTCATTAAACAATGAGAAAAAATACATCAATAAAAAATAATGATTAATCGGCTTACTGATTATTTTTAATTCTCCTTTTTACTTTAGTGCTGTCCGCCCACTCTATGTTTATTGTTTAGAGAATCAGATTTTCGATACGTAATAAGTATTTTATTTGGTAACGCTTACTTTTACTTGAGCAGGTATTTATAAGTAGATATAGTTTTATTTTAATAATTTAACCCCATTTTAACGCTTATTGATGATCTGGAAATTTTGTTGTTTCTCAGCTAGCTTTCAGTTTAAATGACATTATCCTCGCAATCGTATGGGTGTTGCTTCGAAAAGAGCTTTTTGTTTTGGTATGTATATTTTATATTGTTTTATCTTTACACTTACAGATAGTACAGTTGAGCAACATAGGCGTAGTCTGTAGTCAGTGATTACCGTAACCTAGGTTTAGACTAAAAAATAACAATGCAATTTTTGTAACACAATTTCTAGTTTTGTAATGAGGGCTAATTTTTTAAGTTAATGAAGTAAATTGGTATTTAATAAATTAAACTTGTGTTTGAAGTTCCAACTTACATTGACAGTGACAACTCTGCATCTTTGGTAGACTAGATATAATTATAACTTACAAGTCTTAATCGTGTTAATATTTGATTAGGCACATAATCCACAACGCTTATTGCACCTAGTACCAGTAGCAGTACTCAGTGTAGTACAAAACATTAAAATTCACGCCCATCGCTTTTTTTTTAACTTAAAATTATTTTTACTGTGTTAATATATAGATCACCTGTGTTGTCACCAAGGGACACTGGGCATGAATTGTGTGCTAAGTCATGACCAGCCCAGGTCCTCGTTGTCATTCATTAATTGTAAGTAATTTACATGATGACATTCATTCACTTTAGACATTTTCTTTACATAAGAATTCTTCTGTTGTCTTTTATAAATCATCATATAGAAACCCAAAGTGATCTTAGAGATACTGGACATGATTTTATCATCAACCTTTGCCCTAGTAGTATTGTTAATATAAATAGAAGTGTTTCATTGATTTAGGTAAATTGTCAGTAAGTTTATAACAATGAATTTATACAAGCATTCATTTGATCATGAGAAGCCAAGGAGTATTCTAAAATAATGAGTTACGGGCATGCCTAAATACAATCGTGCATTTTGAAGTCTTGAGCTTGAATTACTGACATTTAATTGGCTATCCCAATTAGTAAATTGTGTGTTTTGATGATAAGTTCATCAGTAAGCTATTTTGCTTCTATGACCCTTTTAATATTCTTTTTATCTAGACTTCTGCATGTCTAAGTTCAGTACTTTAATTTTAAATACTGTTAAAAAGTCCATCCCAAGTAAACTGTATTCTAAAACTTAGAACAAGTATGTGATCTCATACAGTTAATTTCTATTTTACATTTAAATATAAACTTTAAATAATGGTTAATCACAATATTATCTGGGGGGGGGGGGGTCAGAAGGATAAAAGCCTCTGATTTTTTTATGTTGTATTCAGAAGACAATTGTATAAGGAGACATAAGTTTAATATTTGGAAAAGACAGGCTAGGCTCCAGTTAAGATGATTGTATTTTTCTAACAGTACTCTAAATAAGGCCTAACCAAAGTTCTGTACAAAGAGCCTCCTTTGACTTATATTCAGTATTCCTGTAAAAAATACCCCAGTTTTATTTTATTTCAAAATACAAAACTGATAAATTTTTTCACTTCGTGTAGGTGTGATGAACTCAATATCACTGTGAAAGATTCTTTTTTCTACCTGGTGGTTGACATTTTGAAAAGATCAACAGTCCTGGAAGATGCATTGTCAGCTGTTTTTTCTTTTAATTTTTCTTCAGGTTTTGGTAGTTCCTTTAGTAGATACAGTTCCTTTAAGGAAAGGCAAGTTTAGTACAGACTATAATTTGTTTATGCTACTGTGATCTTAAGTTTATTGATGTTTTTTTTTATGAGAACATTAACTAAAAAGTAGCATTGATCTGTTAATAGAATTCAGGTGGCATAGTGAAAACTGGAGTGTAAACATATTCGGTGATGAGAAACAGCTTTCATTTCCTCGGTGTTTAACTTTACAGTTTTATCAAGAGGTAGACACACCCTAATGAACACTAGCCCAGTTTTAACAGAACAAACATTTGACATGATTCAAAATAATGACAGCGTGTTCTTACATATTGTCTGACGCATGATCATGTTATCAACAGTAAAATGACCACAATAATAAATGTGGGACAAGAATATAAAAATGGTGAAGAAAATATTAATTTCAAAGTGAAAAACAAAAGGATGAGTTATAAGAACTTTAACTGCGGATGACGGAAATATCCGTCAATCGCACATATATATAACTATAACTCTATGCAAATGACGATAATTACAGTTTTATTGTGATTGATGGCAACTCAGTTTTATCTGCGAATCAGAAATCGGCAACTGAGCTGCTCCTGCATCAGTTAATGGGTTAATAAGTATCTAGAAATAAACTGTACATGTAGTTATAAACACATACATGCACTCTTTTGAAAAGGAATACAGCAGAAAGTATTAAAATGTCAATATCCAAATAAATAAATAAATCCACCATTTAAAGTGTCAACCCTCTATTCCTGGTAATCAACGACTGCTCAGATCAAATGAGAAGGGACTTCTTGTAATTTCTGTCCAGTAAATCGTGGCATTTTCTTTCTGTTTTAATGACAAAACAATTAATAACTTGTAGGTGTTATCAAAACTGTGTTTATATGGATAGGTTAACGATATTACAACACCTGACCAGATATAAGTAAAACAGTTTGGGAGTTCTCATTAAAAATAATAATAATAACAACTAAATAAACTTATTTAAATAATTTTTGAAGTCATATTGACAAATAAGAAAAAAAATTGATAAATTCAGATGGAAATTATAATATATATATATAATTGTTTTGACAAATGACACAAGTTGCAGTATGGTAGCTGCTATTTTTATAATTGTTATTGTTACCGATGCCTTAATCTTTTTTTTTTAGGTGAAATATTTAATGATATTGAATCATTACAAATAAGTTATTTGTAAAACTGTTTTCAGTAATGTCTGTAGTAAACAGCGAATATAAGATGTACGTTATTTGATGCTAAACATGATGCGTTTAAAATTGGTAGGATCCCAGGCTCGTTTTGACTCCCTTCAATCCGATTTCACGGCACTTCTACCTGGTGTGGTAGCAGGAGCTCTTTTGGTGTGTTTCGTTATACTTGTAGCTGGTTGTTTGTGCTGTCCCTATCACAGTTTAAAGGTAAGATTTTCATGAGTTTTATATGTAACACTATATTTTAAAATTCTGTTAGCAAAATGCAATTCTAGCATTTTTCCCCCATTGTTTTAATGTCAAAAATTAAATGTTGGAGTGACATACATATAGTCTTACTATATATATATATATATATAGAACAACAGAATTATATTTCTTGAAAGCTGGGGTATTATTTATTTCCCTATCATTTAATGTTACTCTATTTGTGCTAGAGATTTATTATTGTTTTCCGACATTACGTAACAACTGTAGCAATGCTGTTACAGTTGTACTTTTCTGTGTTGGTTCTATTTTTGTATAATACAAAATAAGAATACGTGTGTATATATATATTTATGTATTTGTTACTACGTGTATCAAAAATTGTAAATTTTCTTTTCTATGTATGCTGCAGTCAGATGGCGTTGTCACTATAACTATATGTGTTATTACTATGATATGTTGATTTTAAAAGTACATTTCTATCCAATCAATCAATCTATCAATTCTATCAATCTCTCTCATCTAACCATACATATATGCATATAGAATATTAGACTTCTGTTTTTTTCTCTTTATTATTAATTTCTTTGACTCATTTCGTCACTTCAAAGGTCACTATTCAGGTTGTAATTTGTCACTTCAAAGGTCACTATTCAGGATGTAATTTGTCACTTCAAAGGTCACTATTCAGGGTGTAATTTGTCACTTCAAAGGTCACTATTCAGGATGTAATTTGTCACTTCAAAGGTCACTATTCAGGTTGTAATTTGTCACTTCAAAGGTCACTATTCAGTATGTAATTTGTCACTTCAAAGGTCACTATTCAGGATGTAATTTGACAGATAATCTGTAATAAAAACATTCAAATACTACTTTTCATCTAAATATAAATAACCTAAATTAAATGCATATGTTTTCCTAGTGTACAAACGTATAATACACTCCTTGACTGGATATTGTTTAGTTTTCTCAAATTGAACTTGATTGGTTGTTTAATTTTCTCAAATTGAACACAGCTGGTTATATTTAATTTTCTGGAATTGAACTAAGCTGGATGTTGTTTAATTTCCCCAAATTCAACACAACTGATAATTTTTTAATTTTCCTGGACTGAACACCACTTGATATTGTTTAATTTTCCCGGACTGAACACCACTTGATATTGTTTAATTTTCCCGGACTGAACACGACTTGATATTGTTTAATTTTCCCGGACTGAACACGACTTGATATTGTTTAATTTTCTCGAACTGAGTACGACTGAATATTGTTTAATTTTCTCGAACTGAACACAACTTGATATTGGCTTGATACTTCTCGCGTAATATGTTTGTACATCGGACTGCCTAGTTAGGATGTATGTGTAAG